AATATTATTATTTTTTATTTGAAACTTTTTATATATATATATATATATATATATATATAGAGATCAAATATCGAGAAATATGATTGATTCCAGACTTAATATCAGAAAGAGGCAGCTGAAGTTTCTGGGACACATATTGAAAAAAGAGGGCCTGGAGAATCTGATACTCATGGGTTGAATAGAGAGAAAGAGAAACAAGGAAAAACAATGTGTGACATACCTTTATGGGCTTAACTGAGTGGATGACAGAAAGTGGTCTAGAGGAAGAAGCAAAGGGAAGGAACTTGTTGAGAGCTGCAAGGGAAAAGAGGGAACGTGGAGAGCCATGATCAAAATCCATGTCCTGAAAGGACATGGCACATAAAAAAGAAAGAACCTTGATACCAGACCACTTGCCATTCTAGGTAAATATTGTTTATCATAAAACAGAGCATTTACTTTAATATTTGTATCTATAAAAAGAATGTAAAAACAAAATGTCTTAAAATAATTGTCGGACTTTCATAATGTGTGACGTCATTTGTTTACATTTGCTACGCCATGAGCAGAAAATGAATGTATGTGAGAGATTCATGGAAGATTGAAGTTTAAATACAGTAAATTATATTTCTTTTTCATTATTATTGGTGTTACTTATCATATATAGATATGGGTACATGGCATAGTGATTCAAATGTTCTAACCATGAACATCAGCAGTGCAATAATTAGTATATTGGCATTTAATGTCTAAGCATATTTTATGTTTAAAAATACATTATATTCATGAAATTTATGTTTAAAAATACATTATATTCATGAAATTTATGTTTAAAAAAAAATTTATATTTATCTTCAAATTTATGTTTAAAAAAATACATTATATTTATGAAATTTATTTATATAATTAATAGTTTCATAATATTTTTTATTATATATGATTTTATGTAAATCCATTTAAAACACTACCGAATAACCAACATGAAAGAACTCTTTCATGACATTAATTCCTATAATATTAATCCCTATAATATTAATCCCTATAATATTCTACAATTTCTTAAAACAATCAAACTGTATTTCAAAATATAACTTCAACAAAACTACAACATAAACACATTTTTCTTTTCTTTTTTAAAAAAAGATCACCATATCACATGTCACCCTCCTCTTGTAATTATGTCTCCACATGTATATGCACAAAAGCTGAGTATCATCTACCGTGTATTCCACTGTGAAAGCAGAATAACATATATCATATTTTTATTACTTCAAAGCTCCAAAGAAAATTAAGTTTCAACATTAAATGACCCATAAGGAGTTGATGTGCCGTTAAATAAACAAATCACTCAATAATGCATATCTCCGCTTCTAGTAATTATGTCCACACAAACATGTATATGCACAAAATCTGAGTATCATCTACCATGTATTCAGTTGTGAAGGCAGAATGACATATATTTTTATTACTTCCAAGCTCCCAAGAAAATTAACTTTCAACATTAAATGACCCATGAAGGATTTTATGTGCCATTAAACAATCAATAAGAATATCAGCAGAACAATTGACAAATCATTTTACAAATGCTTCAATGCCAATCTCTTATTTTCTTGAAACAAAAATGGCAAAGGAAATATTCGGCGCTATACAATCCATTAACAAAGGTGACTGAGTTCTGAATGTAGCGTCAAAGTTACATTTATTATGTTGTTGGCTGATTGCAGAGCTTTGATGCACAATAATGTCTTGCTAAATCAATGACAACAGAGCAGCCAGTGCAATCCACACTCAGTGCCCCCATACTCCAAAATATAATTTCAACAAAACGGCAACATAAAACACACATACCACTACCTCTAGTAATTATATCTGCACAAACATGGATATGTACAAAATCTGAGTATCATCTACCATGTATTCAACTGTGAAAGCAGAATAATATATATCATATTTTTATTACTTCTAAGCTCCCAAGAATATTAAATTTTGGTATTAAATGACCCATAAGGAGCTGATGTAACACCTAGGTATCCAGAGTTTGATCAAACAAAAAGAGAAAGAAAGAAAAAAGAGGAGAGAGTCTATTAACTGGATGGTAACTGTTGAAATTTGCAGGAAGATGAACTGAAAAGTTGAGAAGAAAAAACAAAATGCGTTGAAAAATTATGTTTTGAAATAATTCCAAAGAGAATCAAACCCAAACTTAAGATGAAAATCAGTAAGATTGAGCAAAAATAAAAATTACCCACCCTTCCCCATTTCCTACCAATGAGAAAGAGACCATTAAGATATCCATGAAAATGTCAGATAAATTAAAAACATGTCGATAAAGAGACCAGTGTGGTCATCAAAATAACATTTACGATTCCTCTGGACAAAGGGCCAGGAAAACCATCTGTTTTGAATCAGCCACCCAGAAGAGAAGAGTCCCCACAGAGACAGACTGACTTGACACATTCATCATTATAATTTCTATGACATTCATCCAGAGGAAAATTTTATATCCAAACATTAATTCGGATTCCTTTGACTACAAGTGATTGTAAAATGCATAGAGAAAAGATAAACTTTTGTTTGTAAGGAGAGTGGTCCTTGTCTTTCCCAATTCTTAAGTGGTCTGGTTGATTGAGAAACCACAGCATGGGACTCAACACTCCAGCAGAGGTGAACAAAAACTTGGAGAGTGGACTTACTAAAGGGAAATAACTGAAATGGAGATATCCAGAAAAGGTATGGTATGTGGAACGAGAACAATATACCCTGGTGAATGAAATAAAGGGTTCGGTTTGAAATTTCAATGTATATCACTTGAAGAAGGCTGGAGCATACAATGGCAGAAATGTTGTGAATGTGATAATAATAAAAAAAAAAACAGAAAGATCTCGTATTACTACTCAATTTGTTGACAGCAAGTTGATCAAATTTCAAGTCTTAATTGTTTGTCCATTTAAAATTCTACACTTATTAGAAAATATACTCTGTTTAAATACACAAGGTGTCATAAAAATGACTTCAATGGGCCACAGATTTTGGCTTACGCTCTTTTCCTGTTTTCCAGGGGTTGTTGCTAGACCAGGAAATTAGTCCTCATGAGATAGATGTTCATTTTAATCCCTTTCAAATTGTATATATGCATATTTTGATTCATGATACAACTAAAAAAATTTCTACAAAATTTTTAAAAATGTTTTTGTTGTAACCTAGAGAAGGTTACTGAATAGAATAATCACACGAAGGTTGGTAATGAACAATAATACTTAGGACAAGAACAACACATATAAGATTTGCCAGCGGCGTGTAAAAGAAATAGTCAATTGCTAGAAGTGAGTCAAGTGAATTTCCCAATGAATCTCCAACTACAGACTGCAGACCAACATACAGTATTCACTACTTTATGGGAATAGGGGAATACCCATTATCATCCGTAGGTATGCTACAACAGTTTTAAAAAATAATTCTAAAAATAATTTCCTGAAAGTTCAATAAAATAAATATCTAATCTTTTTAGGTTTCTTGTCTCCAACTTCATGACTTTATTTCCCAGCCCAGAGTAAGTGTTGTCCAGACCGAGTGGGAGAGGAATGTATTACACTGGCTTTTTTCCCTGGTGCCTGGATTACACATGTTTAAGCATGCTACTAGGTTGGCATTTAGGTCCCACTCTTTTACTGTTGAATTAGGTAAATGTAACCGCCATTTTTACTCCAGCAGTTTCTTTTCTCGCACTTCCCACCTGTGGAACTCCTTTCTGTTTACTTTCTTCCCTGAAAATTAGATCTTCAAACATTTAAATGCAATGTCAATCGCCATCTTCTGTTTTCTTGAATCCTGTTCATCTTTTGTCCTTTCCCCAATCCTCCCTATAGACCTGTAGACTCCGGGGGTCAGGTTTGTCTCCATCCCCAAACATGACTCTGTCCTTTATATAAAGAATATCTGGGTTTTTCTCTAAAACAAAGACAGAGAGTTCAACAAAGCCTGAACTGCCTGAAACAGCAGATCTGGGTATTTTATTGGCAAAGAAAAGTATCCCAGTATTCATTTTGTGGATTTTTTTGCCTATAAAAAAGGATGGGGAAACATTTGCAGTCATTCCCATAGATTGGAAATCAACAAAAAGCCATAGAAAAAGAACCAGACAATCAATCATGACATTGTCTATGTCAGTTTTCATTCCCACATATCGGCAACTCCTCTTAAGCACAATTTCAGGATTGTGTGCAGTGTTTTTGGCCTAAAGTTGCTACAGAATCAAGGCTTTTGATTTCCTCAAAGACATGTAAGAGAAAACGTATGCTTGTTTAGCATCATACTTATTATAAAACCCAGGTTGTGCGTGTGTGTCTGTTTGTTTATATATTGGATTGAATTTCCTACATTTTTCAACCGATTTCAACAAAAAACTCACAGGACTACGTAAAATTACCTTTTGGTGGTTCTGACAGCGCCAAAATTGGAAAAACACAATTGTTTTTGCACAAAATAAATTTGAAAACACGATTAAGAGGCATCACGAGAATGAAAGGGGGACAATTCATATCGTTTATTATAAAAAACCCAGGTTGTTTGTGTGTGTCTGTGTTTGTTTATATATGGAATCGGTTTCCTACATTTTTCAAACGATTTCAACAAAAACTTCACATTTTTTTTTTTTTGGCAGGTAGTGTTTTTATTGTCTGCACACTTTTTTCTTTATTTTTACATTCAGAATGCTTTAAAAATTCCATTTACAAGACAATTGTTTATAATAAAATTCTATTCAATCGATAGACTCATAACGATTGAAAACAATGTTTTTGTTTGAGTTTGGGTTTGATCAGTTAAAAAAAAAAAAAAAAAAAATTAAAAACATGCGTGTCTGTCAACCTTAAACAATAATCTTTGTCAATTTTATTTTTCAGTCTTTATGATGGTTGATACTTGATCTATCTCTTATTGTTACATCCCGGCAATTTCGAATTTGCCCTTTCCTTTAGTTGTAAATAATGATGTCATATATTTTCTTTTTTTCTCCATTTTAGGTGATATTGCTTTTCGATTTTTAAAATATGTTGACTATGCCAAAACGGATTCCCCTGAAGAGGACGAGAAGGATCTGATGGCTGATTTGATTGATGGCAGGGAAGCTAACTTTGTCGATGAAGATCCAGCAAAGCAAAAAGCTCACGTCACTGTGTGTGACATCAATCAATCCATGCTGGATGTTGGACGAAAAAGAGCATCTGAACTTGGGTACGATTCAAGTAAGTATCCTTGAACATTTGCATGTCTGTTTGTTGTAATAAAGGTGATTGCTAATTTTCTGCTGAACATAAAATGGGTGATCAACTTTGCATTGTTTTTAAATAATAAACTGAACCCTGTAAGTCAGAGGTTCTCAATCAGTGGGGAATTCCCCCCTAGGGGAAAATTTTGGGGTGGAGGATTTGGGCTACAGATTAGTAGACATAAAATTTTAACTTTCAAACTCCCCAAGGCCCGGCACAACCCACAGTGTTCATTGGTCCGTGCAACTGAGACGTTATGCTGTTTTCTTTCCACTGGCTCTTGTGTTTTTTGCCATTACAAAAATAATCCATGCAAATCTATAGGGGGAAAAAAATGAAGATTTTCAATAATATAGGCATATTATTTGGAATGCATCTTTTGTGTCGGACAATCTTGGAAAAGTGGGGGGATAACATCTTGGCTTATGGTGAAAAGGGTGCATTTAGGTGATTACATATTTTCTGCTGGACATAAAATGGTTGGTCAATTTTGCATTGTTTTAAGTAATAAACTGATCCCTCTAAGGTGATTACATATTTTCTGCTGGACATAAAATGGGTGATCATTTTGCATTGTTTTTAAGTAATGAACTGATCCCTCAATGAGGATTACACATTTTCTACTGGACATAAAATGGATGGTCAATCTTGCATTGTTTTAAGCAATAAACTGATCCCTCTAAGGTGATTACATATTTTCTGCTGGACATAAAATGGGTGATCAATTTCGCATTGTTTTTAAGTAATAAACTGATCCCTCAATGAGGATTACATATTTTCTGGTGAACATAAAATAGGTCATTGCTTTCCTATTTTTTTTTTTTTTTTTTTAATGTTCACCTAATAAAAGGCCTAAGAGCCATTAAAGGTAGAAATATTACTGAATAGAGTTGTTGTATGATTGGTAAGAGTAAGCAGTAAGAAGTGCAATTTATAATATGTGGTTAAGATAATGGTTAACCCTTGACTTGAACAGGTTAAGATTGTAGTGCTTGGAAGAGCATCCTCTTGGGAGTCGGTTCCATGTTCATTACTAATTTTTTTTTTTTTTTTTTTAACCATTTCACCCCAAGTAAGGCAGGAGTGCCACTAGCATGCAGGGGTTGTTATGGTGAGTGAAAGTGAAAGAAAAGTATAGATGTAAGGAGGATTGAGGAAAGGATAAAACAAGATCAAGGCAGCAGATGATGATAATTGATGTTGCATTTAAATTTTTGAAGATTCTAGTTATCAGGAAAGCAAATAAGAGGAAGGGAGTTCCACTGTTGGGAAGTGCAAGAAGAGAAACTGTTGGAATAGAAGTGGAGGTTACATTTAACTATTTCAACAGTAAAAGGGTGGGAAGTAGATGCCAGTCTAGTAGCACGCTTATATTCATGTAGTTGGGCCACCAGGGAAAAATCTCATTATAGCTACGAAAATATATTGTAGAAAAGACAAAGGGAAGCCACATCATGTCTATGAGAGAGTGTCTGAAGTCGAGAAGCCAATTAGGACTGCTGTCCTGGGTATAACAATAAACTACATCCGCGTCCTGAGTAAGATGATAAACTAAGTCCAACAGCAAGGCCTCTGATCAAGAGGTTTTGAGGTGCATGGAACCACCTCTTAATTGCTGATGTTCCCAGGTGCACCCTGACCCGGGGTGGTAGCACCTGTTAGGGTCCCAGCTATGGGCAAATAGTTAACCTCGAAACTGGGCTAAAAACATTATGAAAGTGTAAAAATAGGTTTTGTATACCAGAAATACTTTAAAAATTATTACCAGCAATAAATTTTTGAAAAAAACAAAAATATTATCAACAATACATTTTTGAAAAAAAAATATTATCAATGTTTTTAAAAAATAAATATTACTAGCAATACATTTTTGAAAAACAAATATTACCAGCAATACATTTTTGAAGGGAAAATATTACCAGAAATAGATTTTTGACAAAACTCTAGTATGAACAAAATATTAGATGATTCTAATGGTCCACCTCAGGAAGAAGAAGTGATGGATACAATATTCAACACATTTGATATGCAAAGACTGCAAACAATGTCTGAACCACGAAAATCAACCAGGAAAAAAAAAAAAAAGAACCTTTGATAATAAATCCAAAGAGGAAAAAATACTGTCTTTCCTTTGAGACATTAAAAAGCTTTGGAAGTGGGGTGTTATAAAACTTACCTATAATGATAATGGATTCTTCCTGACACTACAAATACTGCGCCTCTCAAGAGGTATAATGAATGAATGGTGTAACGAAATTCCTTATCTGACAATTTAGTTCACTCTAAACCAGATGGATGGTCAAAATTAACAACTTCAACTTCTTGTACTATATTTCTGTTGTAATATATCTTTGTTATTCTACTCTTGTGTTTGTGTTGTTCTTCCTTGGTTCTAACCTAGGACCAAGTGAGTAATTTAAAACAAACTTTTTATGAAAATAAAACCATCCAAGATTTTAAATTTCCTAACAGTTCAATTGTATTAAAAAATATGAGTAATTGAAAAACGGGTCAAATATATATGTATACATACACACCTTTTTTACCAAATTATCGCTATGAATCTATTTAAAAAAATTTGTTGGCATTAAATGACCCACTGAGGTTTTGATATGCCATAAAACAAAACAACCAACTGTCATGATGTTGATTTGGGGTTAATAAAGACAAACGCCAAATAACACGTAACAATATAAAGGGGTTTATTCGGTTGGTAAATAGGTACAGAAATCGCCTGAGTAGTCTATAACTAGCTCAGCCAAGAACTTCTCCGACTCTAGTCTGTCTTTTGACATACCACTATTTAACATCTTTGTAGACAAGTTCATCTTCAAGAGGGGTGGTAGGTTTCCGACACAACACCAACCAAAGAAAAGAAACCATTCAAGACTGATTACATGGAATAGGAAGTGATCAGGGGTGGCAGGTCTTGGCTGTCAGGGTCAGGACCGGTGAAATTATGGGATGTAACTTGTCAGAACATTTGCCATGGAAATAACAATAGCGAAAGGCTTGCAATGTTTCATTAGTCGGAAAGGAGTTGTAGGGTGGAAAACAATTCCTCACCCACAAAGAGGCAAAGACACTTTTGAACTCTATCAAGACTGGAAAATGAGAACTGGGTAGCTCCGGGCAGCAGGACACCATCAGGGGGATTTTTTTTTTTTTTTGTAACACGAGGGGAAGTGGAAAAATCAGGCGCGGCTGACCACATATGGAGAGAAAAGGGAGATCACTACCCTCTTTGTGGTCGGGTTGAGATCATAGACAAAGAACATCATTGGAAAATACATAAACTTAAAGAATCAGCACATATGCTAGGCCATAAAAATCTCCTGAGCCAACCAAGCATAGAAATGAATACAATATGGGAACCAGTAATAAAGAGTGCCAGAGAAAAGCGATAATAACAACAAAAATTGCAATATGAGCTCTGGTAAAAAACATAAATGATAACAGCAAGAATTGCAATATGAGCACTGGTAAAAAATGGTTGCTGAAGATATTAGGTTTATAATACCCAGAAAATCATACACAGATGTTCTCATGGACATGTGGCACAATGGGTAAAGGCGTTGGTTAGATCCAGTGACAGGATCCAAAGAGTGTGAGTTCAACCTGGTTAAGGCAGTGGAGAACTTGGAGAGGGGAATTAACCAGAGATAACTGACATCCATAAGACATGGCATGTGGAACTAGAACAGTCTACCCCAGCAAGTGAAGTAAAGGGTTCAATTCGACATTCCAACCACCCGAAGAAGGCTGGAGCATACTGGAAGCCTGACTAATTCTAATTCTTTTTCCATATATTTTTATTTTATTAGGATCTAGGTGCCATACTAACTTCACTCTAACCTGTTTACGTTGTTACAAGGCCCCATTTTGCCCTACCTCTTTACACTTACACTATAAAATACAAAATCTAACTTAAAATGATGACTTAAATCTGTAGCTATTAGATGCCCTTTACATTTTGTAATAATAGTATGGAACTTTCTAGAAGTCTCTAGAAACTTCTACTGGGTTCTAGAGGGTACAAAAAACATATATAAACAGGAGTTCATACCAACTAGTCAGTTGCCTCCTGAACCCACAGCCACAACTACTGAGGTCAACTCTGGTCTTTTTGATTCGTGAACAAGGCTTCGACTGAAAGAATCTAAGTTCCGACAGTCCTCAAAAAGAAAAGGCTATCGGTAAATACTTCACCTTTTATTGCTTGATATTATTGACCAAACTCCTTTCTTTTATATACATGTGAATATCTAACTATTTTTCTAAGAAGAAAATAAGATTTTTCTTTGACTAGCGATGAATTCCCATCTGTCACCTTAATCTTAACTGTATAAGGATTCCCTCTCTCTCTCCCTCATATAGCTAGACGTTAAGCCAACTACTTTCTTGGCTCTCACATGCTTATTAACTGTTAGCATTTCCCAACGTGTATTGTTTAAACCTCAGCCCTACTGTTTATAAAAATATATTTTTTTATATGTTAAATAAAACCCACTTTTCATTATTACACGTAATCTTTTTCTTCAATTTTAATTTCTAGGAATCTGTTTCATCTTATTTTTGTGTTGCGTCAGCCATAATAACGTTATGACAAATCTATAACACCCCTAATGTAAAATGGGAATTTGTAGCACAAACAAAATCTTTTTCTGGTGGGGAGGGACAATGCAACTTATGTCCATTGGAGAAAAGATTCATCCTCAAAAATATTAACAATTTAGGTCTACTTAATAAGTGGACCAAGCTAATGATCGCATGCAGGCAAAGAAGGTTATATCTCTTAAAATACTGGAAACCTGACTGATTCTAATTTCTTTTCCTTATATTTTTATTTTATTAGGATCTAGGTGCCATATCAGCTTACTTCATTCTAACCTGTTTATGTTATGACAAATAACAACGTAGCATTATTTTATTAATTTCCTTATAGATTTATATTTATTATTTTCCTCGTATTTATCATCTTTATCTTTCCATTATTTAGTTTGCTTATATTTATTCATTACAACCAATTATTTAATTGCTTTATATTTTATATTTCTTAACTAGCAGCATGGCCCGGCATTGCCCGTGCTTGATTCAAAAATCATACGACTCATACAGCAATCGCTATCACTTGACTTAAAATATTTTGGTCCTTCCGTGCCTTTAAAGGAGTGCCCTTTGCCGTGCTGATGTTGCTACATGCCTTACTTCTTGCCTATCTCACACTGCAAATTTTTTTTCTAAGCTCTATAATAAACATTAAATCTGTTACAAAAAAAGAACTAAACAAAATGAACACAAAACGATCAGCTTTAAAAAAACTCGTAACTGGAAAAACCAACTGAAAAAATGTTAACAACAAATACTTTTTTTCACCCAACCCAGTTCTGCGGAATCAGAATCAATGTTGTGTTTAAGCAAAATAATGAGCCAATTGGAGTAAAGTGCAATGCAGATTTAAATTTTTCCCACTTGTGACGAATGCAGCTTTCAATTTTTTTTGCATGCTAGCATGCTAGTTAACATTCGTGTCAGTCAGCTGTTGGCTCTCATGCTGGCCAATAGAATCTTCCTGCCTATTCGTGGCAGCCAGCTATAGGCTCTCACTCTGGCCAGTAGAAAATGGCCGCAAACTACATGAAAACTGACGTAGAAGCATGAAAAATTGATTATTTCCACTATCAATGGGAGTTGGGAAATGCAAAGTGGGTCTTGGCCTTCTGCTAACTTGGAGCATGTGCATGTAAATTTTGGTGCGAATCCGTCGAAAATTGCGGCCATGCATTTGTTACACACACACATACATCCTGCCTTTTATAGATAGAGATTTTCTTATTTCCTCATATTTTTTATATTTTTTTATATTTTTTATTCCCATATATTATAATTACTTTCTTTATATTTATCTTTTTTTTATAATTCATTTCTTTCCTTACATTTTTTTTATCGTTCATTCTTTATTTTTTAATATTTATTTTTTACCTTACTAAGACTTAAGTATCTTACCAGATTATCTCCCTTTAAACTTTAACATTATCTTGACTATGTGAAAACAGTGTCTTTAATTATAAATTTTAGATTTGTAATCCTTTTTTTTTTTTTTTTTCACAATCTTTCGACATTTTTCTATTTTTTTAAAAAATGCAACTCACCTGCCTCGCATTTATTACTCTTTTTGTCCAATGTTATTTTTGGGCTATGTAGCAGCGTTCTTCCCATAAGCCATTTGTTTACTTTTAGCAATATCAACATTGTGTCTGAAGAGCTGGTAATCCAGCAAAACTTAAGTTGCACACCAAAACATAGGTACATGTATATGTACTAATTAAAGTATTTCTTTGCTCTGTTTAACCACATTGAGCAATGTTATGTTTACACCTCACATATAAATCTGATGATTATTTATTTGCTTGCTCGCATATGCACATGCTTATATCTGGTCATTTGATTTATCCATCCCTATAACTAATATATATATATATATATATATATATATATATATATATATATAGGCAAACAGGGAGAAATATGTCAAAAGGATGGTTTTTTCCCATCTTTTTTAACTAACTTCACTCTTTGGCAATGTTTGTTGTTTTTGAAAGGGTTGATTAGAATTGTAATGAAACCTAATCATGAAAGTGAATTTAAGCATTTTTTGTTCATTTGAATTTACAACAGAAATAGACATTGTTTATTTATTAGATTTTTTTTATTGGTATGGTTGGCAAAACATCGGCGAATTGCCAATTGATTTAAACTTTATAAAATGGTAAATAATAAGGATTTCCTTAGAGTTGGTTCACATATTTTAGTATTTTAATAAATTCTTGTTTAAGATAAAAAAATGTTTCCATATCTTTTTTGTTTGAGATAATGGTTTAGTGATACAAGTCTTACTAATTAACTCATAGATTGGGAGAGAAGATGTGGATTCATACCTAATCAGAATTTGATAAACAAACAAGAAATTATAATGTGGATATAAAGTGGGTGGTCAGTTCTATATTACAATCAATATATAAACTGATCCCTCACTTTTTCATAAGAATTGACAACAAAAGTAATAAACACTATTTATTTATTAGAGTCTTTATTGAAATGGTTGGCAAAACATCGGCGAATTGCCAATTGGTTCAAACTTTATAAAATGGTAAATAATAAGGATTTCCTTAGAGTTTGTTCACATATTTTTATAATTTAGTAAATGTTTGTAAATTTATGAATAAAAAATTGTTTTAAAAAAAACAGAAAACAACTTTGAGTGAAATTAACAATAAGGATGCAATTGCGGGCCCTTGAAAAAGAATGCAGTGGAAAGGGAAGTAATTTTAGTAATGCAGAGTGCTAAAGGTTAATGAATAGATCTGTATAGACGCTATAGCAAGACACCAGTATTCTGATGAAGAGGTTTCCTAAAATTAATATTCTGTATATGTTTGTTTTTTGTATTTTCTTCGGTTCCACACAGAATCCATCAGCTGGATACAAGGGAATGCAGAATCTCTATCATTTCCAGACAATTATTTTGATGCCTACACGATAGCATTTGGAATTCGTAACGTCACACATATTGATAAGGTAAGATTCCATTTTTTTTATCTGTTTTCGTGTCATTTCTTTCCTAAGCAGACTGATAGCTAACGTTTGGCTAAAGCAACTTCAAACTGAACCCAACTGTCTAATTTTCTGAGTATTCACTACAAGTTTCTGAAACTTATGATGTCTCACGAAGGATTTAAATAAATAGATCAATACTTTGATGTTCACTGACAATTTCAAATGCCCTATCAGCAGGTCTTAGAATACATTGACTGCATCAACTGCAAAAGAGGCACCCCTAAAAGGAGCCACCCTCTGAGTGGATACTTTCAGACAGGGGTATAAACCTGATAAATGTGTGGTCAAACACACTGACGAGTAGGGGAAGAAAAAAATAAAAATAAAATAGTTTAAAGATTAGAAAAAAAAAAAAAAAAGAGAGAAAAATGATAATGAGTTTTCGGTAGAGTGAAATTATACTCACACAGGGCAGCAAGTGTTTGTCCGCTTTCTTCCTCATGATAACAAGTGAATGTACGGCTTACCTTAAGTCCAAGCATCGACCTGGTGGTGGTGTTTGGGGAATCAACAGCCAATCCTCTGCCCTCACCAAATAGTGGGCTTGGGAGGCATGCTTTCAATAACATTAAGAACAGGTGAAAGAAACGGTGAAACAGTTCCAAGTTCAGACAATTTATCAAGCAAGAAGTTATGGCCAACTACATAATGAGAATACTGACGAGACACTTTCGCATCTAGCCAAAGACATTCAATTTTCCCTATTTTTCTGATTTTTCTTTCGAACCGGGATTTCTAACTAAACCATCAAATAGGTTAGAATCATTAGGACAAAATGTGTTACTATGGTCAGACACACTGACGAGTAGGGGGAGAAAAAGAAAGATAGAGAAAAATGAAAATGAGTTTTCGGTAGAGCGAAATTATACTAGACCCATATAAGGCTTTTCGGTTCTAGAATAAAACTTCCTATGACAGGTTATTTGGTCTCTCATGTAAAATTCTTCCCATGTACAGCTCTTAGGCTTTCATCAAAGTAATTCATGGAAAAAAGTCGAGTTCATCTCAGCTATTCAGACAATACAAGAAGGCTGGAGAATGCATTGGCTGAAATATAGTGACCAAATCAACAAAGATGAGGATATTAGTCTGAATAATTCATGGAGTAATTATAAGACTGATAACACCAAACAACACAAGAAGGCTGAAGAATGCATTGGCAGAAATGTAGTGATAAAAACAACAAAGATAAAGAGATTGGTCTGAATAATTGATGGAATAATGAAAAGACTTCATGTTAGACCTTCAGACATTACAGGAAGGCTGAAGGATGCATTGGCTGAAATGTAGTAACCAAAACAACAAAGATAAAGATACTGGTTTGAATAATTCATGGAGTAGTTATAAGACTGATAACACCAAACAACACAAGAAGGCTGGAGAATGCGTTGGCTGTAATGTAGTAATCAAAAAAACAAAGATAAAGATACTGGTCTAAATAATTGATAGAATAATGAAAAGACTTTATGTTAGATCTTCAGACAATACAGGAAGGCTGGAGAATGCTTTGGCTGAAATGTAGTGATCAAAACAACAAAGATGAGGATACCAGTTTAAAGAAATAATGAAATAATGAATTTATATCTTAGACTTTCAGACAATAGATGAAGGCTGGAGAAAGCATTGGACGAATGTTTTAATCAAAACAACAAAGATGAGGATAGTAGTCTGAATAATTCATGGAATAAGGACATCATCTCAGACCTTCAGACAATACAAGGCTGGAGAATACATCAGGTGAAATGTAGGGTCAAAACAACAAACATGAGGATACTAGTCTAAAAAAAACATAAAATAGTGACAATGCTTGGAATATCAACTAATACACATCATTTCCATGACCTAATAATTCTGACACTTGGTTCTCACAGAGTTATCTCCCTTGTATTCTGTTTTCTTTGGGTTTTATGTTCCCACATGGCAGCTAAATAAAAAAGATAAAATATACAATGAATATCTTTGCTTTCACCTTTTCTATAATATAAGGAGCTTATATGGATAGTTACCATCTCTCTCTCTCTCTCTCTCTCTCTATATATATATATATATATATATATATATATATATATATATATATATGTATAAATAAAAAGAAAGAACAGTAAGATATATAATCCGGTGTTCTTATAGGTATTTTTATTTTTACAAAATACTCCTCGATGTATTGTGTCCGTTAAAAACCATATTTTAAAAAACAATTAATTTAAATATATATATATATATATATATATATATATATATATATATATATATATATATATATACACCTATACTTCGGAAATGTGGAAAAAATAGATAATACAATTTGTGAATAAAAAATATTAAGCAAATGATATCAGGGAATAAAAAAATTCAAGAAAAAAAGAAAAGTCCAAAACCATTCATGCTGCTTGAAAATGATCAATCAGCACTGCAATGTTTAGCCAAAAGAAAAAACACCAACAGAGTAACTTAAGTTAAAATGTAAAAGTGCTCAATACACGGAGTAGAGCAAAAATTAAAAGACCTAGTGAGCCAGAACCTACCTACTTAGGTTTCACCTAACGAATCATCAGGGTAATTTGCTCATGTCTGGTCTAGGAGAAGGAGAACTCTGAATTCAAAACATGAAGAGGCTTGTTTGCTGAACTTGTGGCATACTGTACATCAGTTCTCTGTATTTGACTCTTCCAAAAAGTGTGTCTGCTTCTGTACAAGGCTTCACTGCTATTATCATACATTGAAAAGTCCCCTGTATGTATGTATGTGTGTGTATATATATATATATATATATATATATATATATATATATAATATATGACAAATTGGAAAAATCATATGATTTTTTTTCCAATTGTCATTTGATACCAATCTGTTTCTGTCCACTGAATTCATCTGGGAATTTAACTAATATATATATATATATATATATATATATATATATATATATATATATAACAACAGATGCTGTAACAGATATTACTATAGTTATATACATATGCATTTATATAAATATAAATTGTGTGTGTATATATATATATATATAAAAAATTAAATATATGAATAAACAAACAAAATTTATATGCAATTATGCTATTTTAATGTTAATATATTAACATTAAAACAGCATAATTGCATATTAGGATTTTTGTTTGTTTTTTCCATATATTTTTTTCATACTGTCGGATCTATATCCATATATTTGCTTACATACATATATATATATATATATATATATATATATATAGATAGATAGATAATGAACAGATTCTAACAGATTTTACTATAATTATATACATATGTATTTATATAAATATAAATTATGTATGTGTGTGTGTATATATATATATATATATATATATATATATATATATATAATAATTAAACAGACGCTAACAGATATTACTATAATTATATACATATGTATTTATATAAATATAAATTATGTATGTATGTGTGTGTATATATATATATATATATATATATATATATATAGATAGATAATGAACAGACCCAATAACAGATATTACTATAATTATATACATATGTATTTATATAAATATAAATTATGTATGTGTGTATATATATATATATATATATATATATATATATATATATATATATATATATATTCCAAAAAGTGCACCAGGTTTTAACTTGCTGGTTGTAATCTTCCGGCATGTTATATTAAACCTCTGTCCATTGACCATGAGCATTTGGTTTCTTTTACAATTTTGAAGCTCTTTAGCTTATTTTTGTAAGTGTGTGTGTGTGTGTGTATATATATATATATATATATGTGTGTGTATTTAGGCAGCATATCTTCATTTAAACATGATTCATTGAATAATATAGACATATTGTGTCTAATTTTATACTGACTTTTTCCAGTTGTTTATATTAATTTCTTGATGTTAAGATGAAATATATATATATATAGAGAGAGAGAAAGAGAAGAGAGGTAGGAGAAAGTGAGATAGATATATAGATATGAAGAGACTGGGATAGATAGATAGATATGAACAGATTGAATTAGATAGATATGATCACATTGAAATAGATAGATAGATATGAACAGACAGAAATAAATAGAAAGGAAGAAAGAAGGCCGAATTTGATTTCATGACATGATGTGATTATACCCTTGGGAAAGGTATGAAGCCATCTCTTCTCCTCCCTCCCCCCTGCCAGCTATGGGTAAGTTCCTATAACCCTGGGTGGCAAAATGTCTAGGAGAAGGGCAACTCTGAATTCAAAACCTATGGAGGGTTGTTTGCTGACCTTCTGGCATACTGTATTTGGCTCTTCCAAAAAGTCTCTGCTTTTGTACAAGGCTTCACCGCTATTATCATACATTGAAATGTCCCCTCTGTGTGTGTGTGTATATATATATATATACTTACACAGGCTTCACCGCTATAATCAAATAACATGTGTGGGTAGTCTGACTGTTGGTTCTAAGAACTCAGCTGCTTCCCCCTCATATGTTGAAAATGGCAGGAGAGTCCAGTATATATAGGATTAATGCAAATAAGATTTGTCACTTAGTTAATTCCTGTTTTATCCAGGACCTTGACTCCGGAGTTTCATAGATGAACTTTTATGTAATTGTTGAGTCCACACATCAGGAGGTTTTGGCAATTGACTGACACTTTTCTCATTTTTCATTATCTTTACACTAAGTTTGATGTTATTAATTTATATGTTAATTGGGATGCTCTCAGTCCTCCCTCACCTATGGTCCTATGTCAGGTAGGTTGATTGGCAACAATGGCTTCCCAGGTCTCTGGGTTGATGTTGGCCTGTGTCATGGATGTCTTCAACTGACCCTTGAAGTGTCATTTTGGGCTTCCACGTAATCGCTTGCCACTGTCAATTTCTTCAAACAGGATGATATATGGGAGTGCATTCTTGATACATGACCCACCCTGCAAAGGTGAGGTTGGGATACAACCATTATGAACTTGCCACCAATGTGTGGG